TAGCTTGGAGCCTTGGGCAAGTTACCTCCCTGGGCTGCAATTTCCTCATCTGTAAAATGGGGATAATAATATGTGCTGCACAGTATTTTTATGAGGATTAAATGGTCTGATGAATGCAAACCTACCAGCACCCAATCTGGCCTATCATTAAGTAGCTTCCTACCTTATCATTGTGGTTTCTGAGGTCTGTGGTTACCAGATTTTGTGATGTGTGTGGTGATGGTCTTGGTCATGGTTTCACCAAATGTCAGTTGTTCTGTGGTCCTTGGAGAGGAAGGGGTGGAAATGGTGTCTCTGTGTGTGGGGGGGTGGGGGTGGGGGGTGGGGGGTGTCTGGCTACTTGCCCAGCAAGGGGTTATTTGATTAGTTTTGCTCATCGTATTTTTCCAGCCTTTGTCAATTTCAGTCTCCCTTCCCATAAGAGAGGAGCTGACCGTGTTCCAGTGTGGTTTGAATTTGAGTGTGGGAATGAGCATAAAGTCTCCAAAGAAAGCAACCAAGAGATGAACCTGACTCTGTACAAAGAGAAAGTGGATTTGGTTGTGAGATCTGAAAGGGGGAGCCCTGACTCCTACTTCCAGGTGCTCCTAGTCCAGTGGAAAAGCGTTAACTCGTACTCTCAAAGAATCCTCAGTAGATTCATGCTCAGGACAAGAGCAAACAGAGAAAGCAAGTATGCCTTGGTAGATCAATCCTTGGGACATTTTAGGGGCTGGGACATGCTGTTTGGAGAAAAAGGCAAATATCAAAAATAACTCTGGGAGCTTCATCAGCTTGCTATTGCTATGTAACACATCATCCAAAAACTCAGTTGCTTAAATCATGCGTCATTGATTTTCACTCCTGTGTCTTTGGGACAGCTGGGTCCTGCTGATCGTGGCTGGGCTGCTCTTGCATCTACAGGTTGGATAGGGATTCGAGTTAGATGACTCTGTCCCATGTGTCCTTCATCCTCCTCTTGTGGCCACTGGGCTAACTGGACATGTTCTTCTCATGGCAATGAAAGAAACACAAGAGAACAAGCCCAATATCGTAGCTTCTTTTCATGCCTGTGTCTTGCCTCCTAATATTCTGTTGACAAAGCAAGTTGTGTGGTTGAACCCAGAGTCTTGGAGGGCAAAGTTATGTGGCCAAGGGCATGGGTTCAGGGATGGGTGAACTGGGGCCATTGGTACAATTGACCAGATTCCTCCGTGAATTTCCTCAACTCTCCCTTACTCTGATCTCAAGTCCTTGCTTCCTCTTTGATGCTGCTAAGGCACTTGTACCTGTCTTCTGGCTTGGATCATAATCCATGCTGCTGCTATAGCCTCAGTCACCAGGCATGTGGGACCTGTGAACTGTGTGCGTAGTCCTGGTGCCTGGTAAGTAATAGTAAGAGAGAGAGAAGACAGCAAACAAGGGCAGAAAATAGGAACCAGCGACAGGAACGAGAAAACAGGAGAAGCACATAAAAGTAAAGGGAGTGGAAGAAAGAAACTGGAAGAGATGTGAATAGGGTGAGTTAAGGGATCCTCTGAACTTGAAAAGGAAAATTAACCCAGAGCAGGCCCAGGCCAGGAGGCCCCAGAAGACGGAAAGTTACTCACAATAAGCTAGAGATACCAGAAGCCCTACTGGGAGCAAGAGATAAGCAGCCGTTTCTGCTTCTGTAAACGGGCTTCCCACCACAGGCTCCCCGCACTACAGTCCTCGCCTAAAGCAGCCCCGCCCCCCAGTTTAAACCCACCTGCCAGCAGTCAGCACAGCCCTTGGAACCTGACTGCCTGCAGTCCCCTATAAAAGCCCTATAACCCTGTTGCCTGGGGTCCAGAACTTCAAGCATGGGCTCATCTGGGTCCGCCGGCGTAAAATAAATCCGAGTTCTCCTACTTCTCCCAAGTGTCACTTGGTCTCTGGCCGGTCGGATTATTTTTCCCCAACAAACTAAGCTGCTGGCTCTCTCAGTTTCTTGGAATATTGATCTATCCCAAGTATTTTAAAGCAGCCATATCCGCATTGAGAAAGAGCCTTGTGTTCTTATTTTTCGTGTGTAGTGGTTGCATTTTCCCGGCGGCAGCCCTTTCATGAAAGATTATATAGGCTTATAGAAATTTCCTTTGTACCCATAGAAGGAGTAATCAATTTCCCATTTATGATTGGAGGCTCTTTGACCACTGAGATCTCTCCAATTGCGGCACATTTGAAATGAAGGCTGCCTTGCTTAATGCGTGAAGGTTACATTAGAAGCAAGGGTGTAGGGCAGACTCAAATTCTTTTCTTGAAATGCAGTTGTTTGTTTTTTTCTGGATAAGGTGGGTCATAGTGCTCCATGTTATTTTGAATAAACTGGAAAGTTGAAAATATTGATGCTGGAAGGGTGGGCTAGATTGATTTTGAAATGGCCGGAAGTCGTTTCAGGACAAACTCAAGAATATGGTGGGTAAGCAGCAGGTTTTCGTGTGCAGTGTAAAGACTTCCTGAAGAGGGACTGCAAACCCCTGTGAGCCACAGCAGCCTCACTGAGAGAAGCATAAGCTCTTCCTGGGGAACAGCCTGGGAGCAGAAAGTATAAGCATTTGCATATGCTTATTTTGCTTCAGGTATTCAAAATTGATCTCTTTATATTTCATGTGAAAAAGATCCAGGGGAATATTCTTCAGTGGATTTAAGAACTCCTCTGCAATCTTTCTGGAGATGGGGGAAAGATTGATCCTCTTGTCTTCAGGCCAATGTTAGCTGCTAGGTCTACCCAAAGTAAAGCAAAGGTAGGAGTGGGTTGGGGATGGGGCCCAGGGTCCCACATGCCTGGTGACTGAGGCTATTTACATGCCCACCATTCCCTTCTCTTGCCTGTCCTACTGGGGGTCTGGAAGTGGAAGACCCTTCTAGGGTGTGACCAGCTCTTTGGGATGACCAGGGCAGGGCTGGTGGCCCAGAAGAAGGAAGTATTGGTAATCTCCCAAACCTCACTGCATCCCTCTCCCCTTATGCAGCAACATCACCTGGAAGAAGATCAGAAGACAGACAAAGCAAAACATATCACATACATATTCTCTGTGCCAGGTTCTAGAGACACCGAGAGAACTCAGACAAGGTCCCTCATGTCAGCTCATAGGGTGAGTCAAGGTCCCTCAGGACACACCCTATTCCCTAGGTTAGGGCTGATGGTGCAGGTGTGGAATGGTTGATGAGCATCATGACCAATACCTTTGTGAAACTTTAGAGAAGGCAGAGGGAGGAAGTGGGTCGTGAAGCAAGGAACAGGCTATCGGTAGAGTAGTGAAGAACGGGCATCACAGCACGAGCAGATGATCTGGGGAGCGGGTGGGAGGAAGAGCGACCAGGAAAGAGTGGCCTCAGTGTCATCATAGGGCCGAGCTATGGGGTCTGATGGGCTGAGCAAGGAAGCCTGAAGTGTGTGAACTTGGGCAGGTCCCTTAACCACTCTGGGCCTCATTTCCCCAGTTTATTAAATGAAGGGATTGGATTAGATCGAGGGCCCCTCGGGGAGGTGGAGGAGAAACATCAAGGAGATAGAGAAGGTGTCTTTGACTCTCACCTCACCTAGACTGTGCTGCTTTCTCCCCCCTTCAGTTTTATATATGTTTCTGTGTACGTTTATTAGAAAAAAAATGTTTTTAAAAATTTTGTTTTTGTTTTGTTTTGCTAAAACTGCTAAAGATCTTTAAGCTCCCTTTTATTTTATTTATTTTTATTTATTTAGATCTAAACAGCAAAGTGTAGCAGTTCCAGGACCAGGTGGTGGCAGGCTTGTGAGTGGGAGCTGGAAAAGCCCGTGGGTAAGCCAGGATTGCTACAGCCTTCCCCCTCGGAAGGGAAAGAGCCTGAAGGGAGAAGTGGAGGGGGGAGGGGTGGGTGTGGATTTCTTGGAGAGATGTGGACATTAAAAAAAATAAATCTATTTAAAAATTGGGCATATCATGAAGACTTTCAGACCCCAAATGTGTCCTCACCTGAGCGAGTGCACCTGCCCGGTCTGGGATTTCTTCTTGCAAGTTCTTCCACTGAGACCCCCAAACCTGGGGTCTAGATTCTGTGGGGCCCTGTTAAAATGCACCTGAGCAACTCCAGTAGCAGAAGCGCTTGTTCTGGTTCTGCGAGCAGCTAGCCTGCCATCTTGGAGACTCAGAGTCCACATTCGTAAACTGGCCATAAGAATACCCTAGCTTTGTGCGGGTAAAAGCAAATGAAGTGCTGGCACATGATAAAGACTTAAAAACTACCTCTTCCACCTGTCCCTAATGCCTGTAGCCCATCCCTTCTTTCCTGCTTTGCTTCATTTCATGAACTTATGGTGCATGCCCACTGCATGCACCTTCTACAGAATTCCTGGTGTAGCCAAACAGGTGGCGTCCTAGTAAACAAGTACAAGAACAAACAATTTAAAATATGGACAGCTTCTAAATGCTTATTAGCATAAAAATACAATCATTTATTAATCTCAGATGTCCAGAGTGCCTCCTGCCTGTCAAACTGGGTGCACTGGGAAAGGTCAACCCCTTGACGCATGGGTATGTGAACTTTTATCCGTGTCCCAGACAGTTGAGAAGTCAACTATTTGGGAATACATGGGATGTGATAGAAAATAAGGTGCCAGTCCCCCCAAAGCAAGACCTGGGGATTTGCCCTCCCTTACAGGTCTGGATGGTAAGTAAATGGTAGCATGCTCCCTAAGTGCCTGGGAGTGAGTGTTGGAAGAAGGAATGATGAGGCAGAAAGGGCCCAAGGTTTGCCACCTAAAAATTGACTTGTAAACTTGGACAAGTCAGTTCTTGTTTTTGAACCCAGTTTCCTCGTCTATGAAACTGGATCATAATATCTGCTCCCCTGGTTTTTGTGGGAATAACGTAAGATCAGGCAAGGCTCTGCTTCATAGTGGGTGCTTGGAAAGTGATCGATAGCTATAATTATGATTTTGGGAAAAGCACAGAACAGATGATCACATTCATGAATTGTCCCTGTGGGTGATGCAGACTGTCCTCGTCGGGGTCTAGGGCTTAGGAGTCAGCAACTGAGATCCTTCGTCCAGTGAAAAGGGCTCGGAGTGCGCCCTGCACGTCACGGTTCCGGAGGCTGTAGATGACGGGGTTTAGCATGGGGGTGACTATGGTGTTCATGACAGTGGCCACACGGCCCCGCTCTGCCTCATACCGGGATGTGGGCTGGACGTAGACTGTGATGACTGTCCCGTAGAAGAGGCCGACCACTGCCAGGTGGGAGCCACGGGTGGATACAGCCCGGAGCCTCCCAGATGCTGAGGGCAGCTGCAATGGCCCCATAGGAGGCCAGAATGAGCAGGAAGGGAGCGACCACCACTGCAGCACCCTCAGTGAAGATGAGCAGCTGGATGTGGCGGGTGCAGAGCAGGAGAGCCTTAAGAGAGGCTGGTGGTCACAGAAGAAGTGGGGCACTTAGGGGGAGGCACAGAAGGACAGGCGGGCCATAAGCAGGATATGCAGGAGGGAGTGGAGGTGGGACACCAGCCATGCGGTCCCCACCAGGGCTGTGCACACGGCCCGGGACATCCTTGTGGCATAGCGGAGAGGCTGTCGGATGGCCACGTAGCGGTCGTAGGCCATGGCGGCCAGGAGACAGCTATCAGTTACCCCCAGGGCAAAGAAGAAGTACATCTGGGTCAGGCAGCCAGCTAGGGAGATGGAGTGGTCATGGGCCAGCAAGTTGGCCAACATCGTGGGGACAGTGACGGAAGTAAAGCAGAGGTCAGCAAAGGACAGATGGGCCAGCAGGAAGTACATGGGTATGTGCAGGGCTGGACTGGCCCTGATGGCGGCCACAATGAGTCCATTACCCAGGATGCCTGCCACATACAGGCCCAAGAATAGCATGAAGAGAGGCCGCCGCTGTCCAGGACTTGTTGTCAGTCCCAGAAGGATGAATGGGCCTCCCTCTGAAGACTCATTGGCAGCATCCATGGCTGGGCTGGTTTTCCCCTAGAACCGCAGGGGTTCTTTCTACTCCTGGGTCCTTTCCCCAGTGTCTAAGGAGAAGGGTGAAGGGCGACTACATTTCTCAAGGCTTCCTAGCAATGGGGAAAATCATGGGTTTGGAGTCAGACAGCCCTGGTATTACACACAGGTGTGACTGTGGGCAAGTCATGTTACCGCCCCGAACCTTCTTCCTTCTGGCTTTAGGTTTCCCATCTGTAAGATGAGGGAGCTGAACTAGGTGATCTTCTAGGCCACTTCCAGCTTGGATACTTTGTGATTTTAAACAAGGACAGAACAAAAGATGTTGTCCAGGATAGAGGCTGGAGCAGGAAGAAAGTATGGAAGAAAAGACCGAGAGAGGATCAATACAGCAGGTAAGAGCTCTGACCCCCAGGCACTTATTTCAGCAAAGTAAGAATGGGGGGAAACAGAACAAAACAAGATGGGAGGGAGGAACACATGAAAAATAAAAATCCCAAATCTGAGTGCCACATATTCATGTAGAAATATAACTCCCAACGCCTAGACCCAGAACCCTGAGGATAAAGAGAAAAACCCCATACCTCAGGAGGGCATAGAGCACAGGGATCTAATGATATTCCGATAACCAGACTGCCTTCAAGTGTTTCACTGGCAGCAGATGATAGAACACAGTCGAGCACTATCTTCAGATTCTGAAGGAAAAAAAATATTTTGAACTTTGAATTCAATATTAAACCAAATAATAATCAAGTGTGAGAGAAGAATAAAGATATTTTCAGACTTGCCAAAAAAACAAACAAACAAAAAGAACAAAAGAACCTGGATGATTCCCCACATACCTGGAGAACTTTCCCCCTGAAATCAAGCACTTTTTGAGAATCAAGCTAATGCCCAACCCTTTGTGAGAAACTTGCACAGACAGAACAGATGCACCTGCCAGATGGCAACTTGTTTTAACGTCTCCCATTTTTCCCCCATCTGAATCTCATTGCAGAAATCTTGAACAGTTCTTTAAGGGAGAGTCTTAATAGGAGAGTGGTTTTAGGACACAGGTTTACTGGAGGCTTTGCTGAGACCATTCGTGCAGGGGAATGATCTCCTAATTTCTTCCTGTGTCCTTCTCTATTAAAAATAAATAAAATAAAGGCCCTCCCTACCCTAGTGTCTTCCTTTTTTTCCCTCCACTGGATAAGAAGAATGTTCTAGCTTTGGCTCCCTGTAGAGCATTTTCTCGAAGTTCCAATCATGTGCCACCTTGGGACATGGTCTCCACATGGGTGGGGTGGAGAGAAAGGAAGAGACTCTGTGGGGAACCTATCGGAGTTTGAACCCCATTCCTCTTCACCCCTGGCCTCATCACAGCCAAATCAGGGGAACTGGAGAAGGGATCAGGTGGGAGTTGACATTGGCTCTGGCCATGCTCCATCTCTCCTTAGTTCCTGCTTTAACTCCTGGGGCCCATTCTTGTCCTGCTCCTCTGCATGGAGGGGCTTTCCAGGCAGAATTCAGGAACTTGGCCTTGCCCATGTGTAACTGAGTCAGGGAGACAAAGAAAAATCTGTCAAAATTATGAACTCTGGGTAGATGAAAATCCCAAGAGCATTGGGTCAGAAGGGTCCAGAGCGACGCCAGGCTGAGAGCACTGTGGTTACCCAAGAGGTCAGGGCTATGGCATTCCCTCTCCTAACCCTGATTCTGCCTCAGGATGTTGTAATCTAAACACAAAGCAGTCTGTTGTACTGGACCAAGTGCTAATCTGAGTATGTTCATAACTGCGAATGAAATACAAATGTACCAATAACCATCTTGTACCCCTAAGCTTTAGGACACATGAATCATTATCTATAACCCCAAATAAATCTTAAATTAAGACCCAAGACATGTCAATTTGATACTTAAAATACTCTTCTTATGTCTCTCATCTAGTTCTGAACCTAGATTAACTGCAATAATAACTTTAGACTGTGACCTAAACTTATCACAAACCTTATCCACACATCAATTTAACTTATCTAACGGATCTCTGATATGGACTACACTCTAACCTGAATGTACTCTAGCAATAAAAGTGAAACCTGAACTCTAGCCTTAATTTGTCCTGTACTCTAAAACTAACCCTCAATTCTTTCTTTTTTTTTTTTTTTAAAGATTTTATTTATTTATTTGACAGAGAGAGAGATAGCGAGAGCAGGAACACAAGCAGGGGGACTGGGAGAGGGAGAGCAGGCTTCCCGCAGAGCAGGGAGCCCGATGAGGGACTCGATCCCAGGACCCTGGGATCATGACCTGAGCCGAAGGCAGACGCTTAACGACTGAGCCACCCAGGCGCCCAACCCTCAATTATTTCTTTTTTTTTTTTAAAGATTTCATTTATTTATTTGAGAGAGAGAATGAGAGCCAGAGAGCGTGAGAGGGAGGAGGGTCAGAGGGAGAAGCAGACTCCCTGCCGAGCAGGGAGCCCGATGCGGGACTCGATCCCGGGACTCCAGGATCATGACCTGAGCCGAAGGCAGTCGCTTAACCAACTGAGCCACCCAGGCGCCCATCAATTATTTCTAATAAGAGTTCAAGTTTATCCAAACTCTGACTCCTAAATTTGTCCCAACCCTACTACTAATTAAAATCAACCCAAATCCTATAATGCATATAATTTCAATTCAATCCTAAATGTATCTGATTGCTTTTAAATTCCAAACCCAGCCCTGGCTCTATCCTTACTCTAACTGTAGTCTTAGGCCTAACCAGAACCCTAATCCTAACCCTATTCTGACCACATCCATAATTCTGACCCTTTCCTAACCTCATCATAGGCCTGACCTAATGGAGCAGGGGTCAGATTCTAACCTAACAATTGGCATTTTAGGAATGAGCCTATGTTCCCATGCTGTTCAGCCATTTCCCCAAGAGATGGAATATATAGGCTCATAGGGAGGGGTATTTGCTTTATCAGATTCAGTCCCATTCTTTGGCATGAGTGGGTTCTGAAGATGCTCTCTTGGGGTCACAGAGAATAGGAGCAGCCTCATTGGTCATGGAGAACCCTAAAAGGGCAAGAATCTAGGAACACTTGGAGCCAACCCGATCTTTACCTGGTGTTTCTGGGAACCAGCCTTCTAGAGGTACAAGTGGCAAATACATCCAGTAAGTTCACCTGGTAACATCTAGGGACTCAGTTTTGGACACTGAGGAACCCGAGGCAGCTCAACCGCCACATTAACCTGATCTTGGTTCTGGCTCTAGGTCTAGCCCTAGATTAACCCCCTTGGGAGATTCTTGTCTCCCTTCTGTAAGCTTCTCCCCCTTTCCAGTTGCAAGAGACACCCAAGCCAGAGGTTCATCTATCTTTACCCACAGTGACAGGGGCCAGAAAGCGACCTCTTATCTTGTCATAGTTCTAACCAAGCTCCTTGGACCTCTTTTTTTTTTTTTTTTAAAGATTTTATTTATTTATTCATGAGAGACAGAGAGAGAGACAGAGGCAGAGGGAGAAGCAGGCTCCCCGCGGTGCAGGGAGCCCGATGCGGGACTCGATCCCAGGACCCTGGGATCATGACCTGAGCCGAAGGCAGACGCTTAACCGACTGAGCCACCCAGGCGTCCCCTCCTTGGACCTCTTATTGGTGCCCTGCACCAGGGCAGCAGAATCGGCTCCAAGTCCTTCTGACTGCCTCCTTGACCTCCTTGTTGCGGAGGCTGTAGATGAGCGGGTTGAGAGCTGGGATGACAAGAGTATAGAACACAGATGCCATCTTGTCAGTGTCCAGGGCATAGCTGGAGCTGGGACGCAGGTACATGAAAATGAGTGTCCCATACAGCATGGCTACAGCCGTGAGGTGAGAGCCACAGGTAGAGGCTGCTCGCCGGTGGCCCTCCGCCGAGCGCATGCGAATCACAGCCCCAGCAATGAAACCATATGACATGGTAATGACCAACACAGTTGCTGTCTGGATGAAGCCACAGACAGCGAAGAGGAGGAGCTCATTGAGACTGGTGTCATTGCAGGAGATGGCCAGCAGGGGGGGGGGGATGTCACAGAAGAAGCTGTTGACCTCCCAGGAGAGTCAGAAGTTCAGGCGGAAGGTGAAGGTTGCGTGGACAAAGGCACTCACGGCCCCGCCCAGGCCTGATTGCTCCCAGCAAGGCCAGGCACACGCGCTGCGACATGGCTATTGTGTAGAGAAGAGGGTTTCTGATGGCCACGTAGCGGTCATAGGCCATGGCTGTCAACAGGCAACACTCAGCATCAGCCAGCCCTGCAAACACAAACATCTGGAGGGCACAGGCTGGATAAGGGATGGTGGCGTGGGGCAGCAGCAAGTCCACTAGCATCTTGGGGCCGATGGCTGAGGAATAGCAGGCATCCAGCAGGGAGAGGTTGGCCAGGAAGAAGTACATAGGCGTTAGAAGCCGGGCATCCACACGGATCAGCAGCACCATGCCCACATTTCCCGGCAGGCTCACCAGGTAGACTGGCAGGAAAATCAGGAAGAGGGTCACGCGTAGGCCCCAGCAATCCGTGATGCCCAGGAGGATGAATTCAGCAGGGGTAACTCTGGTCCAGGTGAAGTTCTCTGTAGTCATCCTGCTGGACAGAGACTAAGGAGAGGCAAAGCAAGAGGGATATAAGAGATAGGTTATGTCCATCATGGAGGAGGGAGGAGAAAGCACTGGGAGGCAGGCAGACTCAGGCTTCCATTCTACCCATGTAATAAGATTGCTATGTGTCCTCGGACAAACCACATAACCTCTCCAAACCTTCCTAACTCTAAGGAGTCACTGCAATTTAACCTTCTGAGGGCAGAAATCTTGTCTGTCTTACTCAGTTTTGTATCCACAGTACTGAGAACATTGTTTGGCACATAGTAGGTGCTCAACAAATGTTTGTTAAATGAATGAATGATCGGTGGGGGGATAGTTAGCATCTGGCCAAGGATGGAACACTCCATGACTCCAGATGGATTCTGCTCTCCAGTTTCCCAAGGAGGAAAAGAGACAATGAAATG